AAGAGTCTTCCTCTTTTTTAATGACCCTCTACCTTACCAAGCATGATGTCCTTCCCTAGGCACTGGTTCCTCCTGATAACAGGTCCAAAGTAAGTGAGATGAAGTCTTACCATCCTCACTTCTGAAGAGCATTCTGGCTGTACTTCTTCCAAGACAGATTTCTTCTTTCTTCTAGTTGTCCATGGTATATACAATATTCTTCACCAACACCATAATTCAAAGGCATCAGTTCTTCTTCAGTCTTCCTTATTCATTGTCCAGCTTTTGCATGTGTATGAGTGATTGAAAATACCATGGCTTGGGTCAGGTACACCTTAGTCCTCAAGGTGACATCTTTGCTTTTTAACACTTTAAAGAGGTCTTTTGCAGCATATTTGCCCAATGCAATATGTTGCTTGATTTCTTGACTGCTGCTTCCATGGGCATTGATTATGGATCTAAATAAAATGAAATCCTTGACGACTTCAATATTTTCTCCGTTTATCATGATGTTGCTTATTGGTCCAGTTGTTAGGATTTTTGTTTTCTTTATGTTGAAGTGTAATCCACAATGAAGACTGTAGTCTTTGATCTTCATCAGTAAATGCTTCAAGTCCTCTTCACTTTCAGCAAGGAAGTTGTATCATCTGCATATGACAGGTTGTTAATAGTCTTCCTCCAATCCTGATGCTGCATTCTTTTTGGTATAGTCCAGTTTCGTGAATCATTTTCTTGGCATGGAGATTGAATACCAAAAAAACCAAACCCGTTGCCATTGAGTCAACTCCAACTCATAGAAACCCTATAGGACAGCGTAGAACTGCCCCATATGTTTTCCAAGGAGTGCCTGGTGGATTTGAACTGCCGACCTTTTGGTTAGCAGCCGAACTCTTAACCGCTGTGTCACCAGGGTTTCCACTAGAGATTGAATAAGTATGGTGAAATGATACATCTCTGATGCACACCTTTCCTGATTTTAAACCACACAATATCCCCTTGTTCTGTTCGAACGACTGCCTCTTGGTCTATGTACAGGTTCCACATGAGCACAGTTAAGTGTTCTGGAATTCCTGTTCTTCTCAATGTTATCCGTGATTTGTTATGATCCACACATTTGAATGCCTTTGCATCATCAACAAAACACAGGTAAACATCTTTCTGGTATTCTCTGCTTTCAGCCAAGATCCATCTGACATCAGCAGTGATATCCCTTGTTCCACATCCTCTTCTGAATCTAGCTTGAATTTCCAGCAGTTCCCTGTTGAGACATTGCTGCAACCATTTTTTAATTATCTTCAGCATAATTTTACTTTCATGTGATATTAATGATATTGTTTGATAATTTCCACATTCTTTTGGATCACCTTTCTTTGGAATGCACATGATTATGGATCTCTTCCAGTTGGTTGGCGAAGTAGCTGTCTTCCAAATTTCTTGGCATAGATGAATGAGCGCTTCCAGTGTTGCATCTTTTTGTTGAAACATTTCAGTTGGTATTCCGTCAATTCTCCAAGCCTTTTTTTTGCCAATGCCTTCAGTGCAGCTTGGACTTCCTCCTTCAGTGCCATCAGTTCTTGATCATATGCTCCCTCCTGAAATGGGCGAACATTGACCAATTCTTTTTGGTACAGTGACTCTGTGTATTCCTTCCATCTTCTTTTGTTGCTTCCTGTGTCATTCAATTTTTGCCCTGGAGTTAGAAAACCAAAAGAGAAGAACACACTTGGCATTTCTCAAGCCAAAAGAACTAAAAAAAAAAATTGAAGCTTCCATTTGCAATATTGAAGGATTCTATGGGCAAAAAAATTGAATGACACAGGAAGCATCAAAAGAAGATGGAAGGGACCTTTCAGAGGAGTGCTAATCATCATAGTCTCCATTTGTGTGTGGATAGATGTGTGTACATGGACAATGCAGAGAAGTTGTGCGTACCTGGATGTTTACAACAGTGCACACATTTATATAATTTGGAGGAAGGCTGGTCTACGTGACTCTCCTTCATGCCCTTCCCTGCCAGCATTCACCCAGTTGATTGCAGACCAGCCCAATCTCCCCTAAGATATAACTGCGTTTCTAACATGCTCCTCAAATCTTTTCCTGTCCATCATTCTTAGCACTGTATTGACTTGGACTTTTTTCTTCTTCCTTCTCTTGATTATAACCTTCTGGGTCTTTCTCTGCTGGCATTCAGTTCTTCCCTCTCCCACCATCCACGCTCCACACTACCACCACACCTTGTGTCATCTTGTGCTTTGAAAGCCTTTGATGTTCCTTCAAGTCTAGTTACATAATAATAATGATTGTGACAGCTAACCCTTACCTAGCGTTTGTACATATGTGTCATTTACTCCTGACACTAGCTCTACGGGTTAGCACTTGTAAATCCATTTTCAGATGGAGAAGCTAAAGCTTGGGGTAGCTTGCCCAAGGCCACACAGAGCCAGGATGGACCCAGCAGTCTGGCCCCAGAGTCCTTGCTCTGCACTGCTGTGGCTATGTGGCCTCTCACTGGGCTCTCCTGCCATTTAGAGAAAAGACAGCTCCGTGCGAAAGGATTTTTCATACATTATTTCTAATCTTCACTCCATCTTTCCAGTTGTTGTTGTTAGCTGCTGTTGAGTTGGCCCCCAACTCATGAAGACCCCATGCACAACAGAACAAAACACTGCCCAGTCCTGTGCCATCTCCATGATTGATTATAGATCAGACCATTGTGATCTGTAGGGTTTTCACTGGCTGCTTTTCAGGAGTAGATCGCCAGGCTTTTCTTCCTAGTCCGTCTTAATCTGGAAGCTCTGCTGAAGCCTGTTCAGCATCATAGCAACATGCAAGCTTCCACTGACAGATGGGTGTGTTACCATTCCTATTTCACAGCAGCTGAGGCTTGGAGAAATAAAGTAACTTGACTGAGGCCACACAGCTAAATAAGGAAATATATGTGGGGGGGTGGTTCAAGCCAGGTTTTCCTCACTCGGTAATCCACATTCTTTCCACCACACTGCACTGGGTTGTCTACATTCTTTAGGGTGGCATTTGGGCCCTGTCCCCAACCTGCCTTCCAGCTATTTTCTATTCCATTGTTAAATCATGCCAGCCTACTTTTGCTCATGCCCTTCCCTTTGCCTGGCATGCGCTTCCCTACCTAGCTTAGGGCCTCGTTCAGCTACCAGATGTCCATGTCAGGGACTCTTGCATTGCTCCTCACACTCCGCGTGGAACTTGCAAACAGCAGGAGGTGGAGGGCATTCTCACCTTCTCCCCACCTCAAGAAGTCCTGTTGTGTCCTCCTCCTGAGGTGGGATGAAGGAGAGAATGGTGACCACCTCCTGCTGTTGGCAGGTTCCATGCAGAGTGTGATGGCTGTAGTGTGAAGCTAAACATGAAGTCACTGTGTTGTAGTTGGGCACACGTCTGTCTTCACTGTTAGACGGCATCTCAAGGGCAAGTGTCACTCTTTTCCTCATTTTTGCATCCTTTGTGTCTAGGGCATTGCCAGACAAATAGCAGATGTGCAAAAATATTTCTTAAATAAATGGAGGGGAGGCAAGGATAAGAAGGTGGAGAAAATCATAAAAGCATTTCATCTGAGGGGCCTCGGTGGGCCTCTAACCTATAGAGAGCAATCAGAGGTTTTATTTGCCTGATGGCCTCTAGGGAAAGTTACATTGTTCGAAAATTCCAGAAGGAAGGGAAGAGAGTGGCTGCACCAGCCTAATGAGCTAATCTAGCTTTTCCTTTCCACCACCCAGGCTTTTGTTTGGTTTTGACTGACTTATTTATTTTCTTTAAGTATGTTTTGCTAACCTGGTGAAAAGGCCCTGGCTCCTATGTCCTTCCAGCTTGGACTTTATAAATAGGATGTAATAGGGATGGTGCGAAAACTATGGAATTCAGGATTTTGATACCACTCATTTCTCTCAACGGTGGTGGTGGTGTGTCGGGTGCAGACCATAATACTTCCTGAGTAGAGGCTGAAGCTTTCCGAATAGAAACAGATGCCAAGAAAAACTTCTTTGGTACTGGGAAAGTTAATTCTTTAACAGTTGAATTAGCATTATATTTTATACTAGATAAATGTCATTCTGATTCCTTGACTTTAAATAAATTTGCACAAATGCCTTTTTTTATTGCCATCAAAAATTTATTGTGGTGAAATTTATAGAACAAAACCTTTGTTATTTTAACCATTTGAGCGTACAGTGATGTTGATTACATTCACCGTGTTATGTAACCACTATCCACTTCCAAATGTTTTCATCACCCTAAATAAACTTAGTACTCCTTTATAAGCAGTAACTCCCCATTCTCCCG